CTGAATTTGCGTAAGAACAATTTTTTCTAAAACTTTGGAGAGGAAGGATAAATTAGAAATAGGTCTAAAATTTGATAAAACCAAGGGATCAAGATTTGTTTTTTTGAGAAGGGGGTGGACCGTTGCATGTTTAAAAGCAGAAGGCATAATTCCAATGGACAAACACGAATTGAAAAAAGGAAGAAGGTAAGGACCAACAATATTAAATACCTCTTTCAATAATCTGGTGGGGAGAAAATCAGTGGGGCAGTTAGTGGGTTTAATGGATTTGACGATTTTGTCCAAGAGGGAATAGGACACTGGTTCAAACTGCTCGAATAAAGAGGAACCAGCAGAGATAAAAGAACACTCTGAAACAGAAGTAGCTGGTGTGCCTGTGGCTTGTCTAACCGATGAAACTTTATCAATAAAAAAGGAGAGAAAGTTTTCACAGGTGGAGGCTGAGTCATCAGGTAAGACTGAGATGGGTGGATTTAAAACAGAGTTAATTGTAGTAAATAACACCCTGGGGCAGTGGCTACTGTTTGTGATAATGTTAGACAGAAATTGTGATTTTGCATCATTAACAGATCTCTGATACAGAACAAGAGTTCTCCTTAATAAAACCAAAGAATCATGTTGCCTGTCATGCTGCCACAGTCTTTCAGCCCTTCTACATTGTCTCCTGAGTTTGCATGCAGTAGGATTTTTCAGCCAAGGCTCAGCTCTGGGTTTAGGGTGTCTGAACTTCACCGGAGCAATAGAGTCCAGGATCCCAGTGCAGGTATCAGAAAACAATGACAAAAAATCTTTGGGACACAGAGAAACATCAGGATAAAACTGAATAAAACTGTGAGTCCATAAAAGCAGTGGTAAACTGTCGGGCACTGGCTGAGGTGAGACAGCGGCGATGACACCCCGCAGCCAGAGGCCTCCTGGCTGGGTGGGGGGCTGTAAATTGGAAAAAAAATAGGGAAATGATCCGAGATGGCAGACTCAGAAATTTCACAGTGAGAAATGGACAGTCCATGAGAAATAATAAGGTCCAGAGTGTGGCCAAGATGATGTGTTGGTGAATTCACTGATTGTGTTAAATTAAAAGAAGCTAAAAGCTTTAAAAACTCAGAAGCCAGTGGGTCAGTGGGACAACAAATATGAATATTAAAATCTCCACAAATAAAAAAACTGTCATAGTTAGAAATAATATCAGCAAGGAATTCAGAGAATTCTTGAATGAATTCCTTATTATATTTAGGTGGGCGATAGGCAACAGCACATAAAACATTCGGGGTGAGCTCAATCACAAACATCTGAAGTTCAAAGGAGGAGTAAGTGATGGTGGGCAGAAGTCTGCATTTAAAATTGTCCTTATAGATAGTGGCAACACCACCACCGCAGCCTGTCAGACGTGGGGAGCTGAAGAAGGAGCAGCCCGAGGGGGAGAGATCAGAAAACGCGCTGTTATTGCTCGGTCTCAGCCACGTTTCTGTCAGCAGCAGAAAGTACAGAGAGTTTGCGCAGAAGAAATCGTGGAGAATAAAAGTTTTATTTATGACAGATCTAGTGTTCAGAAGAGCCATCCGGATGGAGCACTGGCTGTTATCCTGGGATGCGCGGCCAAAGGAGCGGAGGTTCTCCTGAACCCTGCCACGCCTACAGATCTTTGCACGCCAAAGACCAGGAAATGCGCCGCTGCCGGTGTCCGTATCCATGACGCGTAACCAGCTGTATGAATATTCCATGGGGCATCGTATGTCCACAAAGTTGTATTTCCTGAGAATCTTGCACGAAGACTGGAATGAAGAAGAGGCGAAGTGAGCCCGAAGCTTCACAAGCAACCCACCCCTCCTGCCACGTCTCCTGCGACGGTGCCCGCTGCGGGCGACCACAACACAAGGATTCCGTAGAAATGGAGGTATGGATGCCAGGTGAGGTGGAGGAAAAGTCTTGGCTCGTCCATAAAGGTCACGAAACGGTACTTTTCCCACGATGGAATTAATATTTAAAAGTGTCTGGCGGTC